TCTCGGTCTTGTTGCATATCGAACGTAAGCTTTCCAGATTCGTGGCTGTACACCCTTAACCCTCTCTTGGCCTTAGCATGCATGGTTGAGGTTTTGGCCTCCTTATTTGATGGAAATGAAGCTCGCCAAATCACCCATCAGCATCGACGGGCCATCCGATTCCATTATTTTCTGGGATTTTCCATACCTATTTCAGGAGAAGTATTTGCAACTCCCACAGAGACTTCTCTTGCACTAACTCTTATTACTCTCGTCGTGTAAAATTTTTTGTTTGGTTGTCTCAAGTCAAAGTGTTGGCACTAGCAACTTTGTCTTTGATTCTCTTTGACTTTTCGTTCACAACTCGCATATGGCGGGCTTTTGGTGCGAAAATACCCTATATTTGTAGTTGTTGCACATTTTATTGAAAGAACATTGTTCGTGAAATGTCAAGACTTCACTATGATCTGACCTCAATTGCTAGTTCGAATTTACACTCGGCACACACACCTTTCTCTTCTTTTCCTCGCACGTTCATTCATTTGAGAGAGTCCACAAAATAACTCTTGCTTAATTATTTTTTAAATTGAATATCACCGCTCAAATGCGTACCGACAAACCAGCCTGGGGAGATGGGCGTATTAGTGATATAATCATAAGGCTACGCCCCTTCGGAACGCAAATTTGTGGCGACGTTTTTGAAGAGTATGTGACACGATAACTGTAGCTTTGAGAAATATGTCTCTTTACGGCTTAAGTAAGGATCGCAGATCAGAGATATGCGTATGTTCACTCATGAAGAGCCTGTTTTATTTATTCATTGAATTCGCTAATTGAGTTTAGTTGCAAATTATTCTAACTGATATGTTTCTATGACTGTTTTTTTCTGGTTGGTGCTCGTGAACCTGTCAAATTCGCGGAAATTACGGAGGGTTTCTGCGATAGAAGTAATGAGGCCTTATTTTGAAAGTGTTTGTAACTAACCGAGCTAACTTTCCTACTAAATCATCCATTGTTTCAGTTTTATATCGAAAGAAATTTTTTGGTTTGGCCGTCTTACCTTGTCTGTCACGTGGAATCCCTTAAGGGGTCACAGTAGCAGTGGATCCTACTTGTTTGTTCCGGCGTCAGGTCAACCGTGAATCATCGCCGAAGACCCACTTCTCCTGTCCTGTTGCGACGGCATAAGCCATAAGTACACCCTAGCCACGATGGCATACAGGCCCGACCCGAAAAGAGTTAGAATGAGTTAGGCGCTAGTTGGGAGCATATTATATTCTGCGTAGCAAGCTTGGAGAACACGTTGAAATAAGTTGGCAGCCGGAGAAGAGCACACGTCTGGCGCCGCGAGAACGACGTCCAGCGTGAGTGTGGGGGAGGGGGGTCGTCACAGCGTCTTGAGCGAAAATGTAGTGGTCGAAGACCCTGAAAGTAGCACACAAGGAGGAACATAAAGCACTTGGAGCAACTCCATCCTCGGGACAAGCTGAAAGGAGTTGTAAGGCACGTCAATGAACTCGTCCAGGCGACATGGCAAAAGATGAATTTGGCGAGCATAACATAGTCATAATTGTATTTAATGCCGGTTTACAGGCATTGCCAGGGAAAGATTGAGCAGAAACCCGGTCAGCAGTGAAAAAATCTCCCGAAAAATAAAGTTGATGGTGGTTTTTTATAGTTTGGAGGATTCAGGAGAAAAAAACTGCATCCAATGAAATGACGACAGTCAATAAAGGGAGGGGTAGCAATGCATCGGATATGATCAGTCGCCAATTCTCCTCATGAAGTTGGGCCTGGACCAAGCAAAGGCACTGATGCACAGCTGTCGCTGTCCCCGTGCCCCCGAGTGGGCCTACGGAGGTCACTGATAAAGGCATGCAACCTGTACAGAAAATTAGGTCAAGTATGCTTGATCATCGGGTGGGAAAATCAACAAACTGATTCCACATCCCAACATCTACAGCCTCAAGAAAGTTTTCGAAATTTTTGCGACCAGAAAGAGGAAACCAGCCGACTTCAGGAAGATTGAAGTCACCCGCAACCAGTCGATACTTAAAGCTTAAGTCGGCAGCAGCATTAAAATGCCAGAGAGATTAAACGGTCAAAATTCTCATTGGCGTTGAGAGGGCGATAGACACAGTCAGCGAGTAATGAGAACTTGCTTTTTAGAGCAACTAGGAACCAGCAGCCGGCTTAACATAGATGTAGCTGTCCCCACTATGGCTGTTTTGATGATCATTTCGAATTTAAGTAGAGCCTAGAAGACAGAGTTCGAAATCAGCTACGGAGGCCGATGCGCCTTTCTCAGTTACTACTACAACATCTGAGCAATGGACGAACATCAGAGTCTGACGCAAAGGCATCTTATTTAGCAAGGATCTGGTATTCAAAACAAAAAAGATCAAGGGGAAAGACTGTTTGTTTCTGAGGGAGGTGAGCTACGTCGTCCAGTGATTGGCTGTCGACGGAATATACGGTCTGGCTGTACTAATCCGGTTCTGCAAAAAGTTTGTGTCTTGAAAAGATTCTGTCGCGAATAAAGGGGAGTAGGATTTGGGGGAGGAAGTGACGGGCAGGGAAACTGATGGCTATTGTTGGCTAGCTCATTTTCTGCTGGAAATCCACGGGCCGGATATTGTAACACATTCCCGACGGAGCGAATCTGAGGAGCGGATGAGTTAACTGACCCAGTATGGACACTAGCATGAGGAATGCATTGGTAAAACGGCCGTGGATGAAACATCGGATAATTTCGCATAAATAGCTAAAGTCAAAAGTACAAGAGGGGATGAGTTACGGCATAAAGGTGACCTGTCTGGATGGAGAAGGGAAAATGACACGCCTGCTAATCAACTGTTGAGAAACGTAGCACAGTTGGGGACTGCAGGGGGACTGCGGACTGTCGACAGAGAGCAAGAAAGTAGAGAGTTGCGGTGGGTTGTGGAATATGGGTCGACCATAGAGAGGAAATGGTGCAGGTTACATTCACTGACACGCAGCTACGCCATCTTCAATCCAGATCCCGCGGGAAGCGCTACCTCATTTAAACAACATACAGATCGTAAGAATTCACGAGGACATATCTGAATCGGCCTTAAAATTGATTGGTCTGTTTGAATAGTTTGACTGGAAGAGAACCAGGCTGCCACTGGTTAGCACACAAGTATGTGCGTGAGACCTGACATCCCAACAGGCGCAAGGACTGAGGCCACACAACTGCTTTGTTCCCAGACCGCAATCTAGGTATGAACTCCAAACAGAGGACTGAATAGCCAAACCGTGTGGGTGAGGAATATACCAGCGGTGTTAGTATCGGCACCGTGACAGGTGTGGCTTGCTTGATTGATTTATTGAGTTGAAGGTCGATGAAAAATCCCCGGGTTGAATGAGGAAGTATCGTTGATAATAGTGAAGATATCAAAGCGAATATTCGGAAGGACGTTCGGCAATGAGACTGACATAGGAGCAGCTCCAATGGAATGCATCAGAACCATGGCTTTGCTTGGGTAGACTGAGCTCGTCTGACAATATCCGTGTCGACTGCTGACAAAATTTGAGCTACCGTCTTTTCCTTCTCACGGACATGAGGAGTGCCACAAGAAAATAGGGGTATGATGTAGGGGGGGGGGATTTCGTATAAACTGAGTCCAGCAAAGTCTGGGAGTTGTGGTTCGGTCACGTAGGGTTCACTAGTTTTCCAGTAGCTATGGCTATGGGGAGACAGGTGAGTCAAAGTCTATGCAGTCGAAAATTAAATTGCATGATGCCAGTCCGGATTCATTAATAAATACAAACGCACCTGTAAATTATGAGTAATTCGATTTAGGTTTTTGAATCTAGGATGGAAACTATACACTGGTGTTGCAACTTTATTTATGAGACCAGAGACCTCGATAGTCATAATAATAATAATAATAATAATAATAATAATAATAATAATCGTTAAATAATTTAGGGTAAGGTGATTGCGTGCTAACAGCACAAGTGCCAGTCAAAAGCCCATACACGCGTGTTTTGCCGATATTCTTTCACAGCATGACACACATGCGAGGGGACTGCAGGAGAATACCGGTGAAACACACGTGTATGGGCTTGTGGCTAGTACCTGTGCTGTTAGTATTGAATCACCTTACCCTAGAGTATACTACTAGCTGCCTGTCGGCAGTTAATGAATATTACGCGGTTATCCGCTGTGGCTGATGGACCTCGGCCTAAATATTCATGCATAAAAACTAATGTCTAAGCCTATAGACCTTTAATAAACTGATATATTTCAAGTTGGTAGTTAATTTCTAGGGAAATTAAAAATCTACAATTGTCGAATAGTCAGTTTTGGTAGGCAGTCTGAGCCTACAGGCACTCATATCCCAAGAAAAAACTCAAATCTACCTAAGCGGATAAATATCGGGCGGGGTGCGAGTCCTCTCTAGCGTTCTATTGATTTACTTATTTATTTAGCATCTATCAGGCTACTTACATGGACTTCGTTGATAAAAAATGTTTAATGGTTGTCCTAAATTTCATCTATCTTAAGAAGTAACCCAAAACATATAGCATTCGAGAATCACACTTCTTTTTCTTCTAATGCCATTTATTTCACGAGTCCTGTCTCATTCGTCGTTTTCCACCAGTTTTGATCTAAGTCGCCTCGGTATAGTCACCACTGTTTCGTCGCATCTACGCATTAATAAGTATTTTGCTTAATTTCTAAAGGTGTTTTTGGACTTTGCCCATGAGCTTATTTCAATGAACTCGGTATTCCTCCAATCTACCACAGACCCCATAATTCTCCACAATCTATAAAAAATTATTCAACAGAACTAGTGTTGCTATGCCGTCTCTATGCCGCGAAGCTATGGGGCCTAAAACACTGAGTCATCAATCAGATTTTCAGATTTTCGAAAAGGTTCAACATGTGGACAAAAGGCGGAATAACAGGTTTTCTAAAAGCTGGCAGGTTGCATTAGACTTTATTATCGAGTACCTTTTGTTTAGTCAGGCTTAGGTCGAACTCATTTAAAATGGCATCTCGCGCCACGGTAATTTATCCGAAACATTTCGATTCTGTTTTTGGATATTGCAAACACATATAAGAAGGGTTTTGACCTTGTACTCCTTTTCGTTTGTCTAAATATATATAACCGGTTGTTAAAATGAAAATATACCAAGGCTCGTCGTGTGGTATTACAAAATGGAAGTATATCCCTCCATTATAATCCCCTTTATTAATAAAAAGGATAAAAAAATCATGGACTCAAACAACCTGTTATTGCCTTATCATAGAAGGCCCTCGTTTTCTTTTGAAAACTCCCTTAATATTGAGTCTTTAACTCTTTGCACAACGTTATACTACGAAGTGTTTTTTCACTCGTCAGTCGACCGATTCTAGTTCCTTTAGGCCATCGTCGACAGATACCCCTAGGCTTCACACCTGTTCGTCTACCGCCTGTCTTCAAAAAGGGCATAGTTGTGAATTTAATTTAGGTTTTCTGTTAACGGAAGAACTATATTTAGGCGGTAATTGACGCTGTTTTAGACAGTAATCGTTGTTAAGAATATCGGTCGAAATCACGTATCAGACCATGCCTTATGCACGCAGACAAAATTTCGCTTGGCGAAATTTTGTCGAATGCTCCTCAGCTGGTGCGCAAATCCTACGTCTTGAAATCCATATAATGCAAATTTCCAGCAAGCATTCTGTTATTATAATTTGTTATGTTTTTTTCTTTAAGTTTACTCTGCAAATTCGTTTTTCTGAAAGTTAGGTTTCATTTTGAGCTTGACTGCTCATTGAATTTGTACGACAATATTCTCCTTATGTTTAACTAAGTGATTTTACCCACATCGAACATGTTTTGGCGTTTAAAAACACTTTGTGACCTACCAAAACTCCGTCAGTGCATGTCAACGCATAATTTCTGCATAATGAACATATAGGACTTAGTTTTCCAGCAACATTCCACGTAGATTGCATTAGCTTCCTGATAAACTGTCATGCAGTGAAAATGTGTTTTCCTTTTTTGTTTGGTTTGGAGGCTCATTAGGATTATGCAACCCAAGCGCTCAATAAAATGTTTGCTTGATTGCCCCGTAGACGCTTTAAGAAGTTATTTTTTGTCCTTTCGTCTGTTAAAGCCATCTTCGTTCCAGTTTATCTACGGAAAAACACATGTGCCTGCTCATGCTCCTTATGCTAACTTATATACACCTGACTTGCGGACACGAATTGTGGCCGGACGTGAAGTGGTGGATTCAATTTCCCTGAATGCACATTTCCTCAGGTCTGATCCTCCCGCTGTGGTGAGAGTTTATAAATCGAGTATCCTTGGTCGTGTGCTATTGGTTACAATCGGACAATTCTTTCCATTTATTCTCCTATCAGCGTCTATCAGTTTGATCGCGGGTTTTATTTAAGAAAAATTTGTGTCTTGAGACCAGTAACCAGACCGGTTGATCATCAACTTAATTTTACATCTTTCATAACTCAACATTTAATTATTGGATATTATCGAAAGGCTGACAGAACGATACGGCCTATATGGCGCTGTTAAGACGCCAAATGCATTCAATACCCGATTGTTTTGAAGTTGAGAAGCTTAACGACAAATGTTTTCTGATTTCGACCCAGTCAAGAACTGTTTTGAAAGATCGACATCAATAAACTACAGTATGTAAGCTAAAAGCATTGCTTTTACAGTTGTGTGTATCTCACGCACGATGGCCCGCTGCGTTATTTGTATTAATTCATTCAGATTTAAGCAAGTTGCAAAACTGATACGAAGCACAGCTAAATCTAACTTATTTTCTAAAGAGAGACTCATTTTACATCAGAATATCGATCGGCGTTGTCTAGTCGGCGGGCTGCGTATTACGGTTGTTAAGCTTTGACTTCGAGCTGCAAGTTAGAAGCAAAATATCATTAAAGGTTGATATTTCGAACAATTAAATTCACCCCTGTGGCATTTAAAGTAGCCTAAACTTACAAAACCCCCGTAAGCTAATAGGCTGCAGCCCTGGCTGACTGGCTTTTCATGCATGGTTGAATCTCGCAAATCTACATTTGTGAGGGTTCACTGCTGAGCATCGTCTTTTCGATGTGATTGCTGTTGATGTATAAAACGTGAAAATAGATCTCAGGCGGAATCGAACCTTGCCTCAAATCGATCATTACAGAGTCAGTTCCGATATTGCATGTACCTTGGTCTTAACAAATCGAGCCTGGGAAAGCAATCAGAATCGGACGGTTTAACTTTCTTGATGGTGCGTTTTTTCAATAGCTGACTGTTCATCAGTTTTCAAGCACTTGTGTCTCAGCCTTCCTCGTCAAGTGGGGAACCATAATGGACTTGGCGAACTGGAAATGATGTTGACCGTCTACCTGACTACCTCAACGCAATGCACGACAAGGCCCGTAGTACTCGCCTGTAAAGCATTCCGCAGTTGTGATACACTGGAGTAAACAGTACTTGTTAGACAGAAAACTAGGGGGCAAAATCGAGGAATTTGGGAAAGGTAGCCAGACGCTTAGCGCTCCATGATGCTGGTTTTGTTGGCGCGCGCACATGTCGGCCACCCAAACACCCCCGTCGGGGAGCTTTCTTTCCAACTTCAAACGGCACTTGTTTCCTATTGCAAAGATCATCATGGCTTCCCTACTTTAGACACTACACGTCGGTTCCAAGTTCTTTGGTAGGAGCAAACGAGTGTATTGTGTTTTGCGGTCAGTCGTACGCCACACGAAGGCCTTTTTCACAGAGAAAAATCTCCTACGTCATGCCTAGATGAACTTGGACAGTCAAGGAACATTTGGCCCTTTGTCCATACAATGAAGCGCTCTTCTCTTCCGCCACATATTCAGCCATCTCTAGGGTATATGGTTAACCGAAAACCCCGCACATACATCAGGGTCAGGCCTCCAATGTAAATACCGTATCACTGAAGTCAAACTTGAGTCTCTTTGGCTGGAACTTGGTAATGGAATTTTTCGCAACAAGTGACTGATGCCCACTCACGATCATTTCAAGGACAATTACCCAACAAGGGTCGGGTTTGCAGGATCTTTAAATAATGAGTGGGTGAAGAGGGTTAACTGTTTTTAAACCTGAACAGAAGTCCATACTGTTCATGCAAGACTGATGACGAGGTGAGCAGTGGCTCACTGTTGGCACTGAACTGCGTTTCTTCGAATACAGACCAGCTAGACACAACTAACTAGCCGCTCAGAATTGGCACATTTGGTGGTTTGACTGTGGTGGCACCAGAAACGGCTAGATCCCGGAACGCCAAGTTATGAAGTGCGCTTTCTTTTTCTAGTTTTGTTATTTGTACGAAATCTACTTTTCCCTCCCATTTAGCGCCAACATGCGGACGCAGTTTTTGAAAATCCTAAAGAATCGACGCTTAAACAAAAACTAGTGCCTTGTCGGTACCATCTAGTGAGTCCTCAGAAGGAGCAAATGATGGAAGAGGAAGCGATGATGAGTCGGGCCCTAAGCTCCGACATTGCGGCCAAGATTGGCGCGAAATTGCTGAGGAGGAGTGGCAAGGTTGACGGTCGTTCAACTCGCTGTGATACACTATTTCACTTACTTATGAGAATAAACACACGCCTGTTGACATTGGACTGCCTCAACACAGGGTTGGTGCCGCTGGATAAGCTGACTTTGGTCTGTAGCCAGTTTGGGGTAAGTAATTTTGGGAATATGTACGCTTCCCGACCATGTCCTTCCAGTATAGGATAACGTAAAGAAAATTCGTATACCGGGAACTCCGGCTTAGTCAGAAGGAATTCGTGAGCGACAAATTTATTTCGGTTTTGCAGTTATTCATCCGTTCTTTTGACGGAGCGTAATCAAGAATAATGTGATCAGCACACGCTTATGCCTTCATTGGACTTGCCGTAAAGTGGATGCCTAGAGGAACCAATGGTCACTGTGATGTTTATTTGGCGTTTGTCTTCTGAAGTAAAAATAGTTGCTATAAATAGCCACAATGAAGTAGATAGGTTACTTTCACCTATTCCAACGGCTTGCACATTGATTTCCTGTGTGCAGCTATGAAAACTCTGACAACAATTGCAGCAGGTAGCCAAGAGCGAGGTGAAGTCTTTAATTTCTTAGTTTAGTGGCAAGTACTACTAGGAAGTCTTCTTTCCCGTAGCTGATGTGTTAGGCACTTCCTCTGAAAAGATGTTTGAAAGTCTACTGAGTCACTGTTTTCGCTATATTTTCGAGTTTTATTGCAGAATGCAGTCAGCAGAGCATATCATGACCTCTTTTGCGCAAAATTCAACCAAAACGTAACTAGTTCATTCGAAAAACCGCCATGGGAAGTGGTGAAAATTGACGCATGCAAAACGTTTCGCGATAACTTCAGCTCCTCAATTCATCCGGAACCGTTCCTGCCATGATGGCCCTGCTACCAAAATAGGCAAGACGTTGACAAAATTGGCACAGGGCACCAAGATAGCTTGGGACGAATTGACGTTAAAACTGTATTATCGTACTTTACAAGAAAAGAATTCGGTAAATTTTTTGATTCTGTATACCATTTGCTGACCTATCTACGTTAAAATAGGCTGGGCCCCGACTGACTGCGTTATGCGATTCAGACGTCAATATTTCGACCTGCCGGTTTGGAACGAGAACGAGTTGGCCAAGCTGAAGATTATTCATAACGGCAAATTTCCTGAGTCTTCTGTTAAGCCTGCATAGAAGCTTTAGGTCTGTTAAATGTTGACCAACTGGACACGCCACTTGCGTCTTCCAGGATAAAAGGGGACACTGTCAGCATTCCCGACGTGAAAGAAGATTATACGCCCATTTTCTGGGTGGAACGAACCCACCTATCTTGCCATTTGGTCGGTTAAACCGATAACTGATTATGGGTGTCCGGCTTCACTCGGCAGTACTAAACAGGGCTGATATTTGCGCAGAAGACCACTTCAGGAAGCAGTTGTTCTTGACCTGAAGTTTCGAGCAAACAAAAGTTTCTATCGGAAGTCGCATTCTACTCGCGCATCCGTGTGTTGGAAACCCTCGTTGCTACCGTCATTGGGTCGCTGACCATCCCTGCGGGCTGCTCACATGACATGGGAGGGAGGGGGAGGTGGAGAGCATCATGGTCGATCCTGCACACCCTCCCACCCCACCGTGACGCACCAATCAAAGACGACGTCTGGGGAGTGGAGGGAGGGGCGAGTGACGGTCGTCCGGATTGTCCACTTTGTGGTGCCTGCCAGGGGGATGGAGCAGCTTTTGGGCTTCGAAAAGTTGGACTGAAAAAAGTACGCTGTCGGAGACCTTGGGAAGGAAGCTTTATACCGAACTGCAAAAAAATAGTTTCATGCACCTTCACCCAGAGGCAAGGGCGAAAAACTCGTCCATGCAAATTTGAAGGTGGTGTTATTTGCTGCAGTAACTGGTAGACTATTTACAATGGCACCGTATTTCAGCCATTATGGAACAAGACCTCCTGACAACTAAACTACGAATTTACTGTAGGAGCGCTGGCGGACACTTTGTTCTCGAGTGCCTTTAGAATGAATACTAATTTGAGGAGTCCTCTACAAACATCCCGTCATAGACGCATAGTCTTAACACAAATCTTTATTAAGGTCAGCACATTTATGAGGCGATAAGGAGCGCACGCCTACTTTTACTGGCCCTTCCGATATACTTTGGTGCGCTTGTTCAACCTAGAGACCATTCTTCTTAACTTTATAACTATCTCAGGTGCCATTCAACCCTTATCTAGGAGCCCAAACTGACTTTGCGGGTCACCGGAGAAGTACAAATGATCACAAACTTTTAAAGTCAACTGTCAGCAGCAATAAAGCAGAGTGTTTGACCTGACCTTTGCAAACGAAGTAGTACTTTCGTCTGCTAGGCTTACTCCAACTTGCAAAAACAACTTAAAGCTAGGCAGTTTTGTCTGCTGGCCGGCGTCCTCTTCTGGCATGCAGCCGATCACTAATCAAACGTTCCAAAGTACTGAAAATTCAACCGTGACGGCACCTGCTATTTAAATAAGGTCCGGTGGTTCATCAGTCTCGTTCGTGACTTCATGACAGAATTGTCGCATGTGTTTATCGTTCTTCACTCTGCATTGCCTTAAAATAGCCAGCTCGCTTTTCAGTGAAGTCCATTGTAGTATTTTGTTATGAAACACTACTGAAAATTTCAAAATTTACAGTCCGAAAACGCTCACCACAAAGTGCAATCGAACATCTGTCTCTAAGAATAGACGCTGACGGCGTAAATCCATCAACAGTACTTTCCCGTCGTCTATCCGGACAAGATTAGTTTAGTCTTAGCGACTACGCTGCTGAAATGATTCGGCAGACGTTTCTGCCTTGAAGGAATATCGAGTAATCCGCTCAGGGGATGGGCTGAGGTGCGGTAGTCCCGAGACACAGAGAACCTGAAAATTAATTGGTGACTGATGTCTGCCCAGAAACAGACGCTTTCTAGACATGCTACTTCCTGTCTTTTGACCTAAGAGATAATATCTGTAATTTGCGGACTCCTTTTTACTCCTACCCCCTGCCAGTTGGGCTTGGACGACTCGAGTTTGCAGGAATTCGCGCAATTCTTCCTACGATGCAAGCTACCTCTCGCTCCGTGTATGGGACCCGTGGAAGTGGACTACAAACTCTTCCTCAACGCCTTGGCTGCTCTCCAAAGGCCTGAATCCCACTTTCAGTACGTAGCGGTTTGAAATTTTACGGGACTTGAATCTCAGGCTGTTGTGGCGGCTTTAACAGCGGCTTCACACTAGGCATCACAATAATCAGACCAAGATCCGATTAGCTGGAGAAGACAGAAGACATCAGAATGAATAATTAGTGCATAGAGCAGAGGACAGCAAGCGAAGTTAAATTTTTTTCATCTGGGAACAGCGTGTTCTCGCGAGACTAAGTTGTTAGAAGGCCCGGGGTTATGAGATCGTTGCTACGGCGTACGCTGCTACTTTTGAAATCACGATTAAGGGGATGTGTCTCCTGTAGTCATCGTGGTTGCTGAGCCGATGAAAGCTTATCACGCTGCACGAATGACTGAGGCCATCCGAAGAATATCCTCTTCTTTGTCGGCACTCCATCATCTGCGTGTACTAAAAATCACTACGTGACTGTCTACGAGGACGCCAATTTGAGCAGGCACAACGGAACGCGTACAGTAGGTGGGCAAACTAGTGAAATGTCAACCGAAATCCCGTAATAGGTTTTCATTTCGAAAAGATTAATTAAGTAGGCTTGTAAAAGTAATCAGCCTGCAGCATAATTTTATAATGATTCAGCTACCTCAGGATGCCGGATTCCGAAAGAACTTCCTCCCGGCGGCATACGTAAACAGCACTCTGTAAAAATTACTACTTAAGGTAGCATGCATTTTTTCATTGATTCCCGATGCCCTCAAAAATTCAATAATATTTCATCGAAATTGCATAGAAATATTTATTATTTTGCTAATTCGGTAATAAATTACGTCTTCTTCCAATTTTATACTCGAAGGAGAGACATAATTTAGTTTTAAAAAGTTTCTAATTGTGAGATTTTTAATACCGTGAAATTGCCGTTCATAAAACGTCAGGTCTCTGCATTTACCAATTTTGCTTGTAGAGTTAACAAGATGAATCAAATCGAATGCTAAACTTTATGAACCCTCCATAGTCTCCTCTTGATACCGTAGAGAAATGTGTGGTTTTCTGTACTCGAAAAATATACGGTTTGTAGTTTGGAAACTCTGGATGCAAATATAACGGCAGAGCGGGTTCAAAATGATTCGGGTATTGGAAACGTTTTTGAAAATCGAATATTGCCTTTTTTTCGAGTGTGACCGTGGAAAAAGACTTAATTTTCTACTGGATGGGCAAGAGAATGGATATTTTTATTCATGTTTTCAATGATATATAATTAGACATTTAGGGGCATCGAAAATGAACGAGAAAAATGCATGCTACTTAACTAGTCATTTTTACAGAGTGCAGTTTTTGCATGCCGCCGAAAGGAAGTTCGGTCAAATGCCGGCATTATACAATTATGCTGCAGGCTGATTAGTTATACAATCCTACTTAATTAATCTTTACGAAACGAAAACGCATTTCGGAATTTTAGTTGACATTTCATGAGTTAGCCTACCTAGTGTGTATCTGGTGTCCTGATTGGGCGAGGGTCACTCTAACTTCTTGCCAGGGTGTTCTCACGTTCGCGGTATCAGGTGCTATATGACGCAAACGAATCGCTGAGAGCAGTTTTGCCATAAAATATACAGAAGTATGCGAGCAGAGGAAACTAACTAGGCTCCCTGATATACTTGGTGACCTCTTGGATCATGGTAGTAGGATGTTTTGACTGATTTCTCGAAACCATACAAAAGTACCCTTCGCTTATCTACTACCTCCAATTAAGCATACACCGAAAGCCCGTTGTTCTATCTGAATTAAAACAGTTCCCTAATAAGCAGATAATCGTTTGGCGGGTGACTACTGCGACTTTGGGGACTGCGTCAGGGTTCGACACGCGCTATTGACCCCCAAACATATAACAAGTGCTATACATCAGGATGCTGTGACACGCCTGGATCCGGTCTTACGTCGCACAAACAGTTGCGCTCGATTCCCCTTCCAGTTTTCTTTAGTCCAGACTGTGCCCGTCTCCATTGAATGAGATAGGGGAGAATGTGGCGGGCGCTGCGCAAGTCCGCTTTCATTGAACTACTTCAAGCGTAAGTCACTGTACACGCCCAACCTTGTCGTGGGCAGACGGTGGACATCGTCCGCAAGGAGGGTCGGTTGGATCGCAGTTGGTAGCCAGGACCCCTATTACAGGTGGCCGGGTTTTTTTTTACTGAGGCTATTTTGTGGGGCTCCATAATCACGTCTGACCCATTTGGCTTCCGTTTTACGTTTGATGTTAGGATTAGGGCACCGGTTAATGGTTTCCAGTTTTCGGGTTAGGGTTATCCCTTGAGGCTTAGGTTTTCTGGTTACGATCAGGGTTTGGGCGTACGAATTGGTTCAAGTATTACGCATAGGTATATCAGTTACGGCTATGCCTAAGGGTTACGGTTACTTTTACGATTTCGGTTAGGGTTGCCGTTATGGTTAATGGTTAACGTTTAAGGTTGAGGTTAGGGCTAAGGTTGGGAGTAGGGTTAAGGTCGCCATCCGCTTCCCCATTCCTGGCTACCAAATGCGATCTAGCCGGACGGTCGAACTGCTGAGCAGTTGTTTAAAATGCAGTACTGTATCGCGTTTGGAACCGGTCACTGGGAACACGAATGGCATTGACTCGGCGGCAGACTAAATAAGGACGCCAGGTCCACCATCAACGCTCTACCAACTAAGCCACGGGCCGGTCGTCTATAAGCGAGTATGTGAACACGCTTCCATCTTAGTCAATTTTCTCGAGCTCAGCCGACAGGGTAACGAGCCCAAAACCCAATACGTAAGACGATACATTATAATAAACGCTCAATGATGAAAAAACTCCGCTTTGAACCCTAATTCCCACAGAATTGGGACCGGGCAAAACCGAAGCATGACGGTCGAAATGCTGATCTTTTGTTTAAAATGTACAATAAGTGGGCTAACTCATGAAAATTTCAACTGAAATTCCGAAATGCGTCTTTGTTTCGAGAAGATTAATTAAGTATGCTTGTAAAACTGATCAGCCTGCAGCATAATTCTATAATAATTCAGTTACCTCAGGATGCTGGATTCCGAACGAACTTCTTTCTGGTTGCATGCAAAAACCACACACTGTGAAATGACTACTTAAGAAGCGTCCATTTTTCTCATTGATTTACGATGGCCCCAAAAAATGTTTGATTATATCACATGGAAAACATGATGAAAATATTCTTTTTTCGCTCATTCAGTGGAAAATTACGTCGTCTTCTAATTTTATACTCGAAGAAGGGACGTAATTCGGTCTTAAAATTTTTGTCAATGTGAGACTTTAGTAACGTGAAATGGCCGTTGATAAAACGTCATGTCTCTGCATTTAGCAATTTGGCTTGTAAATTTGATAATATGGACCAAATCCAATGCTGAATCTTATGAACCCCGTATGGTCTCCTCTCAATACCGTAGAGGAATGTGTGGTTTGCGTACGCGGAAAATACATGACTTTTAGTTTGGCAACCTTGAATGCGAGTGTGACGGCTAAGCGGATTCAAAATTATTCGCAAAACGGAAAAGTTTTTTAAAACTGAATTATGCCCTTCATTAAAGTATAGATTTTGAAAAAAAACGTAATTTTCTATCGAATGAATAAATAATAAATATGTTTGTTAATATTTTCCACGAAATATACTTGGCTTATTAAAAGCATTGAACGTCAATTAGAAAATTGCACACTAATCAAGTTGTCATTTTCTACAGAGTATAGTTATTGTATGCAGCCGCAGGGAAGTTCGTTCGAAATCCGGAATCCTGTCGTAACATAATTATTGCAGAAGCATGTTATGGGCTGACGAGTTTTACAACTCAACTAAATTTTTCTTTTTGAAACGAAAACGCATTTCGGAATTTTGGTTGATAATTCATGAGTTAGCCCACCTACTTTACGTTTCTGTCACGCCTGCTTTTGGCTGAGAATTGAGGGAGAATCATCAGAACCAATTGGTAGGTATAAAGAATGGGGTGAATGAGGTTTCATTCATCACTAGACGGCTATTCATAAACTAAACTTAATTTCAAGGCTTCATTGGTTAATCTTCCGCAAAATAGTGCAGTGGCTGTAGGTAGTGTTGCAAGGGAGGGCATACGCGAACACAGGTATCCTTGGTGCCGACTAATCTTTAGTCGCCGCTCGGCCGATGAAATGCACCGGGAACTTCCTGCGGCGGAAACTATCAACCGGATGCTGTGACTGGCATAGGACTTGCGAGAATATTCATGGCGGGACAACAACAGTCTGGATAGTTGACAGACCAGTGTCTAGTTATAAACCAAAACCTTTTAGCCATCTGTTTCTAGAAGTGTCTGCTTTCGACAAACCGACTTATGCGCCATGGGCATAAAAACAGGAATCACTTTCCTTGCGTTTCAAAAAGTAGACGCTTTTATCTCTGAAAAATTTTGGATTTGTTTCTCACAGGCGTCCGAGAATGGCCCTCTGAGTGCTTAATGCATTTGGGCTATCAGCGGAGAAGCTGTTTTTATAAAAAACACACCTGCAAACTTGACGGACGATTAATTTCATTTTGAAAATCAGATGCTTTCTATTGCTGTTACAAGACGAGTACCGTTTGCAGGATAACTTGTTTGACGCAGTTGCTCTTAAACCTAATCTTGTCTATTATTCTTCCATGACGCTGTGACAACCTTACGGTTAGATTAACTTACTGGTTGTGTTGTCCGATAGCAGTAATTCCTGGTCTCATTCAGTCGGACAGTTTTCAATAACCGGTAGAAAATTCCAATTATTCATCTTGCTTTTTAATTCAATTATATTCGAAACATATTCCTTCATGATTTTTACGCTGTTTTATCTTATTTTGTCTGGTCGAAATCCAGTGAATGTGGCCCCTTCCCAAAGCAGGACCCCTTGGCAATAAAGGTATTATAGTATTCTTTCTTCTTAAAGTATTTCTCTAAAAACGTATCACGCTGTCTCTTCACTTGGTGAATAGTCTTTTATCAACGACTGGTTATAAGTCATTGACCTGGAATTTGTCAACTTCCCATTAGGTACAGAGTAAAATAGGAAGTACTCCACCAGTCCTCGATAGTTGTAGCGATAAAGTTAAGTCAGAGTTAAAATGCGCTTCTGGCAGAGAGTCCGCGTTAACCTCTTCGCATGTTAGGGCATGGGTGGATTAATACAGCGCTTAACGCTTCTCAGCACATTTAGCGAAGGCCCAATCCAAAATAGTTCCAGAGCATCTAGTTGACAGTGGCCATCATATTGATGCCTTGGTCGCCGTATTGGTTTTTTTAAATTGAAGCTCACCTGAATCGCATTTGCCAGACAGATACCAGTCAGCGTTTTACTTGTTATTGAACGTGCGCTGGAAAAAATAACTCATGACAACCCAGTCGACTGATTGGGATAGGAAATACTCGCCGGCTTCATCTAAACTGCAGTGACACAGGAAAAGTGGTTGTATGGTAAAAAGCGAAACTTTCCGCCTGGATGAATGGCAACGTTACGAGCAAATACAGTTTAAATGTGATGTACGAAAGTAGTTTTCCATTATTCCCAGAACAGCTATCTACCCTCATCTACAGTAGGTATTCGAGAGGATTTCTGCTCGTCGGTGATTAACACTATAATAACCCTTCGTGCTTCTGACACAAATGCGATTTTGAAAGTAACAGTTATAATTTTGTCAAAAATTTTACTTTAACGTTTTAGGCTTTGTCGGCCTATCAGTCACCCCACGTGTAAGAAAGCATTAAAGTTTAATAGTGTAGACTTCATACGCTTGTGCTTGTCACGGTAGTTAGATTGCGAGCCAAAACCGGAGTTATATTTGTAATGATAGAGGACCCACTGCTGGGCTGAGCTCATCATAGTTGTAAAATGCTGCCATGACAAATTGGTATGATATATGTGCGGGCATGTTACTAGTAGCAGTATTAACGAAATATATTACAACATACACCCAGTGCCAGTGGTAGCTTAACGGAGACAAATACGTTAGGTGTGCTAACTCATGAAATGTTGGTCAAAATTCTGAAATGCGTTTTCGATTAGGAAGGAGTACTTAGGTGGGGTTGTAATACTGAGTATCCCGCGGCGTAATCCTATAGTATTCCAGACTCGACCAGATGTCGGCTTTTGAATACACTCCTTTTCCATCTCCTGTAGAAACCGTACTCAGTAAAAATGGCTACTTAAGTAGCATACATTTTCCACACGGATTTTCTGTGCTCTTATCAATTCAAATATATTTTATGAAAAACATGAACAAAATATTCTTTCTTTCAATTGTTTGATACAGAATCACGTCGTCTTTATATTTTATGCTCGAAAAGTGCGTATAATCAGGTTTTAAAAACGATTTCAGTTACCAAATACTTTGGAGCCTGATCAGCCGTCGCATTAGCGCCTAGTGATTTCAGTCTACAAGGGGCATACGTTCAGCTTAAGGAAAATCATACTTTCTTCTATCACTTAAAAAATGCCGTATTGAGTCCATAAATTTTTTAATGGATGCGATCTGTGTTGTACATTTCATGAGGAACATTGGTAAAAGGACAGGTACGATGCTGCATGAATAGACATTACACGGTCTTGAAAAATCTCGTAATAAAGAACTTTTTTGATACCTAATCATACTCTTTCTTCGAGTATGAGATATGAAGATGACGTGATTCTCTATCAAACGACTGAAAAAAGGCATATTTTTGCTCATGCTTCCTATAAAATATACTTAAATTCATGAGACCATCGCAAATCAACGGGAAACTTGCATGCTGTTTAAGTACTCATTTTCTACCCTGTAGGTTTTTACAGGGGATTAAAAACAGTGCATTCAAAAGCTAAAATCTTGCCGAGTCCGATATACCATAGGATTATGTCGCGTGATAATCAGTATTACAACTCCATCTAAGTAATCCTTCCTAATCAAAAAGGCATTTCAGAATTTTGGGCAACATTTCATGAGATCGGTCACTCACTGTATGTATGATCCTTATAGCACTCAGTTCTTATGTTCTTATGTCGGTCAGAACGGGGCAAAACCAACTACATCCGTTAGCTTAGGCCAGAAGCTAGGATATCGCGATGCTCAAAGCTTAAATTTTCTTTTGCAAATCATCAAACTTCATGGTGTATTTGAAAACCTCTTCAAGCCTAACATTTCTTAGGAACTTGGATATGCACCCGCGAGCAATATCACTTATCCTCCACTGTCAGTAAGAGGATCCACAACGGAACGTAGAAACAGCAGTCCACGCGGCAAACCTTGGTTCTCGAGATTCCTACTCATGGCGGGCGACCTGCACAGTCTGAATGGAGACCACTGGGGTGAGCTTGATTAATGACAAAATATGCAGAGCCTACTGTTTTTTTTACTAGTAACGTTTTTGTTGCCAAATAGTAGATCCGCAGGATGGTAGCTTTTTCCGGTATCAGGACTTGTACGGCGTTTACCGAAATCCTCAAATTACACAAGGCAGATAGAGAAAACAATTATCATAATTTTGGGTTTCTACTGACAGATTTCTCAACAAACCACGACGAACCCTTCAGATTAGCTCTGTGACTTTATAGTCAATATCGCTCCCTAAGTGGCGCACGCTTTTCCCGGCTTCCGATGACCGCATAAAATAAGGGATGAATAGACGTTTAATTCGCACAAACTACTTTAAGGAAATAGCGCCTATTTAAATATGGGCAGACAAAATTGCCATATATCTTAGTCACCAATAGTTCAGCAACCGCTGCACGTTTTTTAAACACGGCGTTTGTAACTTTCTCCATTTGCAAGCTAATCAGGCATTTTAACAGGTAGAAAATGTTTTTTTCCAATGGATAAGGTAGCAATATTTAGATTACAAGGGAAGTATTTTAGACGAGGCATGATTGCTTTCGAAAGTCAGTCTATTGGTGTGCGCCTGTTCCTTTAAAAATAAGAATATACACATATATTTGATAGTGATTTTTAACGTAATGTTAATACAGGTACCGACTAAAAGTCCGACTACGCACTTCACGATATCTTTTTACTGTCAAAATTAGGAGTTCTGCTCCTAAGATTGTCACCAATGTCCTATTTTTACTTTCTGACATATGAACTCCAGATTAATATCAAACTAATAATTTCGAAAATTCCCAAGCTCATGACTTTGAATTAAGAACCCGTGGGAGGAACTTTTAGCCTCGGCTAGCTGAGGAGGCTTAATGGGTCAGAGATGGCTGTTTTAAACTCTTTCGTCTTCGTATTTATTCCTTCTTGCATGCGTATATATATATATATATATATATATATATATACTGTGATAGAGAGCTCTCACGGATTCTGTTACTTGACCCGATCGTCGCTGTTGACCTTTAAACAGACGTGGCCGTCCACCGATACAATGACTTCTTGAAGAGAACAGGGCAAATACCTGTCAGATCGAATTAATCCAAACCGCTGTTACTGATCTAAATACTGTCTTAGGAAAAGATCGATACGGCCGACTGAAACATTTGTAGACTTCCAGAGGATGGGAAAGATATATAATCACAATAAAAACTAATATGAGCAGTTACACATCGATTAAGTTATCACCTCTGCCACACCCAATACTCCACACATGACATTCTACATTTGAGGCAAACTTAGTGTCAGTTGGCTGTTGAGTTTGCTGACGGAAACGAAGAGATGCGTTTCAGGAAATAGTCACGGAGAAGGAGACGATGGCTGGAACAAGTGCTTCATTAGCCTGACGTTTCGGATCTTCACTCGGGAGCTACCGACTGTGATAGGCAGTAGCGGCGTAGCAACTATATCCTAGAAATATTGCAACACCCGGGCAATCCACTACCCTTATCTAACTCTGTCTCTGATGATGGATTTGAGTGAGAATCCGAAACGTCAGGCTAGTAAAGCACCTGTTCCAGCGATGGTGTCTCCTGCTCCGTAATTGTTGAATTAATTCGAGAAGTATTTTGGCCGTTTGGATGTAGGCGAGGACTAATTCTCTGAACACACACGCACATATATATATATATACATCATACGTTATTCTCTGTCTCACAGGACAGCCATTGAATACGAGCGCATGTTTTATCCGGCTCTCAGATAGTAATGCTCACCTTGTAACCAATGGCTCCAGACGGAGTACGACAGTCATGTAAATTGAACAAAGTAGGTGGCGGAAGCGCCGACAATTTACGGTACATCATTAAATTCGAACCTTCTTAGGTACAATGGACAGGGAGGATCTGCTTCTTCTGCTGTACAGGCTCGACCAACGGTTTCGGCTGTCGCTGTCCGAGGAGGAAGTGAGAAATGCGATTCTTCAGTCGACAGTATCACCAAAGAATGAAAGAAATATCCACATTGAGTCCTTCTTACGCGCGTTAGCGATGAATCACTAGGCGAGGAATTTCCCGGCGGAAGAAACCTGTCCCCGTTCGGTTTCACTGTCTTGTATCTGAATCCCTCTGTCATCTCTTATCCGAAGTTCTAATAAACTTTCCTCTCCTGTCCTGAACTTTGTTATCACACTTCACTAACGACCTTTTTTTAAAAATTAAACTTTTTGGTGCGCGACATGTCTCTAGACGTCGGAAATGTTAGTGAATGTCTTAACCGATGTCAGTCTGACCCATACTCATACCCTGCAATAAAACCGGCTTCTAGAACATCAGCCTCATCCGACTTTCAGCGCTCCTGATCGCACTTGACATAGCACGGATATTTTAACGCATTAACCAATGAACAAATTCCAGATTTCAGATCATCCCGCAGCGGGCTTGCGGCGTTGAACAGATGACAATCATAAGCGAGCCTGGAATGACCTCTGTGACTTTACAGCAACCCCCTTCATAGTTGTGGGGGACAATGAGTTATAGTTCCCTAGCGGTTTTACAACAGGGTTAAATGGCCATGCTTCTTTTGTTGAAGAACTTCGATTCAATTACCGGGAGCTTCAGACCATTGGCTAATGTTGCGTAATACACAAGCGCGACCAGTCATTTAAAGTCATTAGTTTAGCACTGGCTACTGTTATCCAGAGCTCATTTGATGTCGCATCCTCACAGTCTCTGACGATGGCCTCTTGTACGAGACCGAAAGCTCAGACTAATAAACCTACTGTCCCAGAGATCGGGTCTTCATCTTCTTTACATGTTAGAAGTGTTCGGCCGTTTTGCGTCGTGGGATTAGTTCTGGATTATCTATACAAAACAAGGGGTATGAGACTAATTGACGAAATAATATATAAGCATATATAGGAATACTTCATTACATAACATCGTACTTATACTGGATTCGAAAGGACCCACAAATCAAATCTACGGAATTACCATCCCTGGTTGAAATTTTGCTAGTGGCGAGATTTGATTTTATTCTCTAGGCTACAAGGATCTCTGATTTGTTAAGTGAACATCAGAATGCCCCATTAACCGTCTGACAGTTGGGTTCGATGTCTATTGTATATGGAACTGATGAGAAGTAGAAGCGATCGATGGAACAAGGGTTTTATTGGCCTGACATTCCGGATTCTCACTTGCACCCACCATCAGAGACAGTGGCAGAAACAGACCCATTTATGTCACTGCCTTTTGTTCCAGCGATCGCTTCTACTTATCACCGACGAGTGCCTGGAAATCACATATTCACTTGTATCGGTAGATGGGCCTTTCATGCTAAAGCTTACTTCATAACACCTATTTTTTAACGAAAATCTGCACTATACGGAAAACTACGCGTCTCCTCATTAACAGTTTTCTCTGTTTTTAACGCATGAAGCAAAAGCCCTTTCGATCCTGGATAAGGACCGGCGTGTCATTTTGAGTTCGTTTCGCGGAATTAGGGTGTTGGCTCGGACAAGAACTGATGGTTTTACGATATTGGCTACTCACTAGTAGGCGTTACTCCCTCAGTCAGGTTCGTCTCACAATGCGAGTAAGTGACATTAGATGCCTAAATATGCATTAGCTTAAGTAGTCATTTCTGATGAGGCTGCAAAACAGAAGAGATGACTTACAAAACGCAAAAATATTCCCGATCTCGGCAGACAGGACGCGATTTAACACAGCACTTGGCGGTGCTTGGTAACAAACTGGTTAGGGTTGGGTTGTCGCTGGCGGGTAACGGCTGTTTTAGCGTCTCACTTCCCTGCGGACAAAAGTTCCACAGAGGAATGTAAATGTCAGGAAGACACGCAACCAATCATTACCGTTGTGCAATCCGGCGGGGGAGTGAACGTTAGTCAGATGTACCTTTGAAACCGACAGTCTGCATGAGAAACGTCCCAAGTAGCCCGACGACTGAGACGCTAAATCTAAAGTCGGAAAATCGGAACTCATTGTACGTGTGTTCTGATCACAAATTTCACTATCATTGAGCTGCGTTTCTAGTAATCTTTAGGAATTCAGATTATATTGACTAGCAAGATAACCGTAGTAGTATATGAGTCACCAAGAGTAGAATATGATCTCCCTCAGAAGCACAAGTGAACTTAAATGAACAGCATCCACATGCAGTAAAAATATGCAAGGGCTGATTAGTTTTAACGGCAAAAAGGGGTTTGGAAAATCCCATATTGTTTTTGCTTCACTCAGTATGCATGTTCATCTCACACGTTTCCCTGATGACTAATAAATTGGTCTGCGACAGGTATTCAGAAAGCTTTTAAATTGGATTCCTGACAAATGGGTTATTAGTCGGTTTATCCTACTTAAATGACATCGGAAGCATTGATTTCAGATATAGTGGGGCTCTTGTGAGTTAAAAATCATTGCCAGAAACAAAAGGAAATGAAGGCACTTAGTGTTCCGTTTATTGCGCTGAATTTTTTTGGATTTTAGTTGAAAAGGCGATCGTATAACAAAACTTATCCTCTAGATTACTATAGCAATTTTAAAATTCAAAAGCTTAACCTGTGTATTTAAACATTCGGAATTAGTCTTGTGTAAATGAGATGAACATATGCATAGCAACAGAAGCCTTGTAAAGTAGGAAAAAAAATCAGATCTGGATACTTATTATTCGAACAGTTTGCCTTCTGGGGCTTACTGACAAGATTAATGATCCTGCATATAAATCAGGCCGGCAAAGTTAATTGAGGTAAGGTTTGTCGCCGCACGTTCTTCATTGGTTAGCTTCCTAAGGCAGTTTGGTCTGAGAGTTCTTTTTACCTTCCAGATAGTAACCAATCAGCAACAACCAGTCTAGCACAGGGTTGCATTCTTCCGGTTTGCAACGTATCCCGCCGTCCAACAATTTTGAAAATTGCATCATGCTTAATCCAGCGAAAATCTCTAATGATACCATGTTTATGGTCCTCTTATTCATGTCAATCCTTGTTCCGAAGGTCGAAAGTTTGGAGTACAGAGTAGGTAAGATCTTGACTGCATTTTGCAGATTTACCAGACGTTTGACTCTTGTGATATTACTTTTAATTACTTGGTATAGGCACTATCCGTTGCCTCTTTCCACGCCACACTTAAAGTAGATGTTTGTGTAGAAAAATGCTCAAGCTTCTTCTACTATTCAACCGAGATCTAATTCAAGGACGCAGACACATTGATTTGACTGGATGTCTTCGTATGGATTGTCACAGTTAATCATCTACGGTGGGCAGGACAGTCACGGAAACCAAAGGCGCACTCCAATTTGAAAATTTGCAGAAAATGTGTGGAGAACTATAAAAAGGAATTAAACCAAATGCATACGTATTCATCTTTTTTCAATGGGTTTTGATTTCTTTGATTTCTACTTGGGTGCTTGCTATCATGCCCAACGAGGACACAATATTTGGTTTTGCCATAGTAACAAGCCTCTGAGGCCGTGGGAAGGGCACCCAGCTTCCGAAACTTTTGTTCAGCATAGATAACGTGAGAATAGAGCGTTCAATATCTATTTATTCTGAAAAACGTGCCGTTTTAACTTTTGATTGAAAAATGCATCCTATTGTGTCATGTGAACAACCAGTTTTATTCCCCTCTCTAGGCGTGTTCTATGATAGCACATTCAACGCCTCAAAATGGAATCTTCGGGAGACTTTATCAATGCTTTCTGGGCGAATCACGATGAAGATTCTTTCTCAGTTCGCGATGGCTTTAAATGAACCGGCATTCAAACTGATCTTCACTTTGATAAATGTCGACGTCAACATACGTAGGTCCATAGTGTCCATTTTTGACTGCGAGAAAGTGTTTCATCCATTGTGGGAGCAATCAGTCTGATAAAGCAATTGGAATTTGGGCGGAGCATTTCTTTCTGTTTTTTTGCTTAGTGACAAAAACAATACTTGGGTTAGATGTGGTTATGTATCCCCACTTGAGGAACAAAGTATTGTCGGGGTTGGGGTTAGGAGTTATGGTTATGGGTTAAGGTTAGGGGGTTGGGGTTAGGTGTGGGGGTTAAAGCTTAGGGCTATGGGCTAAGATTAGGGGATAGGGATTAGGGCAACATTTTATCGACCACGCTGAGTACAACCGCGCATTCCCAATAGCTTCTCTTTTGCATACGATTACTTGACCTCGTCGCCTGTGCGTTCCGAGCCCCAACTATAAAAACCCCGATTACCACCGGTCCCGTGTTAGAGGTGACTGGTGTTTGTTTACTTCAGGTGGGGCTACATAACCACATCTGACCAATACCTGTCAATACTTCTTAGGTGAGACTTTGGCTACACTACAATATACTGACAGTGCCTCCGCTGGATAGATTTTTTCAATCTCCACAATCTTATAAATTCACAACCAGGGCCATAAAACATAAATCAACACTGTGATATCAGATGGCCTCCGGCATCGATATTTATCTATAATCTCGGCTTGATAAGTACAGGCTGCAATGATCATTCCTCCTCGTCTATCGGGCGAGTGGTTTGGAGCTATAAACATGGTCGCAAGTAAAAGCACGAGAATACTTCAATAACGACTGGTGGTTAAAGTAAATCAACAGTATCAAAACATCAGAACCCTCGCAAGGACCATCATCTGCTAAAATGAATCGGGTTTTCCTTCGTGCAGCATTTCGTATCAGTTTACCGAAATGAAGACACTGACAAGTTTTCGGTTTTCAAATGCCGGCAGGCCCTCACTCGGATTTCGATCACAGATCGAGTGGGCTGAATGTGTGTGAAAACCCCCGGAATTCCAAAATGATCTGCGCTGTAAATACGCTGAACCCACTTCATGGTCAAAATTGCTCAAGGCACCCGTTATTGGGGTTGTGCAGAATTCGTGCGAGTCTGTACGTCCCTCAGTCCAAGCGCTCGTCGTTTGTGAGATTCGAGCAGCCAAATTGTACACGCCAGAGGGATGAGAGATTGAGGCCGGTACTTGGGAGTCCATTACCGCGACAGATAATAGCATTCACCATTATAATAAACCTGACACACGTGAATTCATCACTACGTTCCAAGAGTCGTGGCTTGGGAGGCTGCCAACTGAGGCAGCGCTAGTTGATGCTCCATAGAACGGGAAATAGCGGGAATGACAATAAGGTACCCTTTCTTTCTTTGTCATGAATCTAAGGAGTTTGAGCCCATTACGATCAGCTGAAAGTCGTGGCTTCGAAGATTGCCAGTTGACGGGAAAAATCAGCCCACCTTCAGAACTTAGAAAAGGCCACAACGGCTCCCTTGTGGTGTGATACCACAGTCTTGTAAGATTCGCAACTACCGTTATCCTTCAAAACTGATGTATGAAATGACAAAAATTGATTTGCTATCGCATTAAATGCTAACCGAAGTTCAAAAAGACAACTTAATTAGGGTTGTCGTGTTACTTATCGTTTCGCATATTACCAAGTTATTCTAGTCAAATCAGAATTCTGGCTTTCGAACTAGCCCTATATCTGCCAACTGTACGCGCAAAATCTCGTAAAATAACTAATTGGGTAGTATGGGTTTGTCGATATATTTTAGGTATCCATATAGATTCAGGCATAGTTCGTAGAAAACATGCACAAAATACTGTTTATTTTACTTATTTAATCACGAATTGCGTCTTCCTTAAATCACATATTCACAATAAAAGTAAATTTTGGTTTTTCAGAACGTTCTAATTATAAAATTTTTCAAAACGGTAAAATTTTCATTTATACAGCATCGCATCCGCATCAGTGTAACGGCAAGTAAATTTCAAAACTATTCAAGATTAAGAACGTTCCTCAAAGCTTATAGACAATTTTTCTTCAGGTATGGTAATTTGAAGAAAACTTAATTGGTTATCAAATGAATCGAAGTAAAATATAATTGTGAATCCTTCCTTCAAATAAATGTTCGAATTTGCGAGAAAGTCAAAAATTAATTGCAATAATTCATGCTACATAAGTGGTCAGTTTTCACGGCGTGCAGTTTATGTTAGCGGTCGACAAGTAGCTCATTCGGAAGCCGGCATTCTGGAGTGAGTTAACTGTCTTGGCCTTATGGGACACGACAATTAATAGGATAAACCTACTTCAGTTATCTTTTTGGATTAAAAACACGCCTCAGAAGTTTAATCAGCATTTCATGAGACAGCGTATCTGCTGTACGGAGTTAATGGCCTGGCCGTATGTGGCATGCGTTTCTTAGTTTGTTATTACGACTTCACAAGTTTCAGTTTTTTGGACCTTGTCTTCTTCCTCCTACCTCTTCTTCCTTTTCCTTCTTCTTCTTCTTCTTCTTCTTCTTCTTCTCCTCTTCCGAAACCAGCTGTCATCAAAAGACAGTCAGATCATGCGGTCATCTGAAAATGACGACTGATTGCCGAAAAAAGTAGAAAAAAAAACAATGCCCAGCACATATACTATCTCACAAAATGTATCTTTGATTAGAGAAGATAACCTGAGTAAAGGCGTAAGACTCATTGTTGAGCAATATAATAACAAGATATTTAAGCCACGATAAGATCCCGGCCTTTGAACGCGGCTTCTTTCCGGCCTCTTACAAGAGCAACATTTTGTAAAAATAACTATTTGAGTAGTAAAAGGTCCTCCTATTGATCTTCTATGTCATTTTATATTCGCATATATTTTACAAAAAGCATCAGACCACTCGGGTGCGTGCTGGACCTGGCTTTCCAAGATTAGGTTCATTCGGCAAAAGTCGTTCACGACGACTCTTTTGACGGCAAAATGAATCTCTTACCTGTTATCATAATACTCAACTGATTTGTTATCGTTAAAGCAGAAAAAATCACCGCTTTACTACTAATGCGCAGCATTTACTTCGGTCCAATTTCAGAGCTGTTTGAAATCGCAAAGGACATCCACCTGGTGTTTTCACTGACAAACTATCGCCGAGCCGTCCTCATCAGCGAGCTCGCCCACAGAGCTGGGGTCTGCCACATCGACCTGACGCACTGGCCTGCACGTCGACGGCAGGGGGACACGGAGCCCCGGCTTCTACACTCCACAATCTGGACCGGCAGTCCGTTAGGTCTCGGCGCCAAATTTCTTGAAGATATTCTTAGGACAGAGGATGTGCGCAGAGGCATAGAATTGATAGCAGATGTGCCCGAGCAAGGTACGCGATCTGTCCGATGATATCGAATGTGTCTCTGAATAAGCAAAGTACTTAAAACATATTCCTGGCAAGCCTGCGCCGTCCTATATGCCAGTAAACATTAGTGGACCATTAATAGTACAGCAGCAATGTAAGAAATACCTTCTATTCATTTCTAGTGATCTACACCCCCGACATACAGTAGGTGGGCTAACTCATGAAACGTCAACCGAAATTCCGAAATGCGTTTTCGTTTCGAATACATTAATTAAGTAGGGTTGTATAACTAGTCAGCCTACAAAATAACTCTATAATATTTCAGTTACCTCAGGATACCGGCTTACGAATGAACTCCCTTCCGGATGCATAAGTGGCCATTTTTTACAGACCATTGTTTTTGCATGCAACCGGAAAGAAGTTCGTTCGAAAGCCGACATCCTGGAGTGATTGAATCATTATAGAATTATGCTGCAGACTGATTAGTTTGACAATCCATCTTAATTAATATTTTCGAAGAGAAAACGCGTTTCAGAATTTCGGTTGACATTTCATGAGTAAGCCCACCTACTGTACTTACAACGCATCCATAACAAGCTTTCACAGTTCTGTATGCCATTTAACATTAATTGGCTATTGAAAGTACGGCAGCGATGTAAAAAATACCTCCTATTCATTTCTAGGGATCTACACTCCCGATATACCTACATGCGATCCAAAAATGACTTTGTTCTTTAACGTGAACAGTGATATGCGCAGTTGTATTGTATACTAAACCTGGATGCTGAGGTCACGAGCGGTTATTTTAAGTCAGATAACTATGAACTTGAAGGCACTTTTGTAGTGAGACCAAAGTTCGAGTCCTAGGTGTATGTGAACCTGAGGGCACGAGATGTTATGTTGAGTCGGTAGCCTGTGGGCATGCCTTTGAAGGATTAAAAAAATTCAAGTGATGAGGAACGATTCAAATGCAAGTTTATTACGGAAGACAATGCAAGCGAGAAATTCACTCGAACGGGGAACATTCGCTCCGAAACTGAGTAAATCGTAAACTCCTGACTCACAGTGTAGTTCTCTGACTACTTGCTACGCACCTAGTCGATATTCCCCCCGCGAGAATTGCAAGAGGAGCACATTTTCGAATCTGGCAACTACTCAACTATGATCGTACGGGAAATCTCCAAACGCAGAAGACAAAAAGCTCACACCGAAGTAAAGTCAACTTCCAAGGTTGATTGCTAATCTTTCTGTGGCTGCATATGCTATCAGTCTTTGAGTAGATCCGGGTATCTCAAGTACGCAACGAGAACGGATGCAGTTTCCATATTAGTTTGTTATTGACGGTCTGATGTTGACAGTAATTTTTTCCTTTGAAACGTAAATCATTTAAGGTGAACAAAATGCGTAAATAGAAGGAATAAAAGTCAAAAATGACCAGAAATAAAAAGGATAAGTAAACAAGAAAATTTTCGTCACAAGAGTATTTAACTGATTATGCTTAGCTGGATTCAACTGAACCGCTGTTATGACCCATAGAAGCCTTGCAGATTTTGAAATCTTCGCCAATGAAATAAAGGCGACGAGTGCATCTGTGAAGGGGATTATTTGCTTATTAAATAGGACTAATGAGCTATTTTTCAATCAAGGATCACAGTATCAGCAAGCATTATATATTTAAAGTGAATATGCGTTTATGCAGTTAACTAGATCTGCCTTTGAATTTTCCTTGAAAGCATTTAGAGGATACAGCCTTGTGAATCCGTTCTCACTAGTGGAACGCAGCATGTGTGTTCATCCAGAACCAATGCGAAATATTCGCTACTGAGATCATAATTTTTTAAACGCATGTAGAATTCCACTTTCGAAAACCAATGTTCTTAGCCGTAAGAAATTTTTCGACAGCTGGCCTTGTGTTTGTTAATTTTAAAAATCAGCTTCGGCAGGTAGCTTTTCCTGGGGACCTCTCAATTAATTTCATTCATTCCCACAAACGTACTGCTTATACATTATATTTAAGTTCATATGTAAAACGTTGAAATACAGATTCCATTACCTAGGTGTATGCGGTATTTCGGCATAGGCTTGTTCGACTTTCGGAGTCGAAACTTGGGCCAGGGTTGGGTATGTAACGCATTGGGGAGAGAGTAGTTACCCACAAACCTAACGACAACCATGGCCATGCCTGCAATGGGAATTCTCTGACCCGTAGACATTGAAAGAAAACTCAGACGTAAGCGTAACCTTAAGCCAAGCCTCAACCCTAAATCTGAACCACATCCTAAGCCCGGCAACCATAGTCCCAAGAATAGCTCAACTAACGCTTATTCTAACCGTTGTCAAAACCCTAGCCTTGAGCCCAAAACGGGCAAATGTAATGTCAATAACGCTAATGAAGGTCAGAATTCTCTTTCCGCGTAATTCCTTTTGCGACCTACTGCCGGGTAGACCGTTATGAAGCACACATAATTAAGAGAAGAGTGTAGGTTTTCAAACAACCACCCAGGGGGGTTACATACCCAACCTCTGCCAAAACTTCTTCCTACAACGAACTAAAGCAGACCTGCCCAATGCTCTTAAGGCTGTATTCAGAAATTAAAATTTAAGCGCTTAAACCACGTCCCAATTCTGTGCCCCGCCAGTTCACTTTTTCCTGTTGCCTGTCATAGAATTTCCTACAACACCCACCCCGGGCAGCCGACGAGCAAGTCTCACAAGAATCGTGATCCGGCGACATCAAGGAGACAGCAAAAAACCCCTTGCACGACGACTGCCGTCCACCAATTTGACCAAACTCTTCCTGGACTGGCAGCCTTACCCACCCAAATACGTGGTCCTGCAGACTTGCGGTTTAGAGTCAGAGGAGATCCTTCGTGAGGTATCTGTCTATTCGCCCAGTCTAACTTCTTTGTGTTAGTGGGGGGGGGGGCGAAAAGATATACCTACGTAAGTCTGCTTATTAAACCACATTGTGGTCAGGTCTAATTTCATAGCCGCATCTGCGGTTGACAAGCCCCAGCCGCCTGGCATGCGGGACCGGTGGGAAAAGGGGGTCTAACACTAACACCTAAATTCACCCTTAACCCTTAACACTAGCTGTTTACCCTTATCCCTAATCACTAACCACTAACTACAACCCCTAGCCCTATCCCTAGCACTGGCCCCTAATCCCTTAACTAACCCTTAACCTTTAACACTAACCGTTTACCCCAATCTACAACCCTAACCACTAACCACAACCCCTAACCCCGAAGGCTAACCCCTAACCCGTAACAGGTGCAGCTACAAATTAGGATCTTGCCGACATAGTAAACTTTTCTTTATTAAAATGAGGCTTTAAAATAAAGCACCCCGTTCAGATTGACTAAGTTGAGAGATCCGGGTTGATTATTTAAATAAGAAGAAGATGGGCTCACCCGAACAGGTATATTTAGATGCTGACGTTTCGAAGAGCTTGGTCGGCTCTCCATTGTCAAAGCGTAAAATGCACTTAATCGACCAGTAATCCCAAGTGGCTTGTCACGTTGGTCGGCCTCGTACTGATCGATTTGTCTCTCCTCTCGCTGCCTCAGCCTATCGGCGGTTGGTTGACGGGCCTTTTGTCTGCGTGCCTTGTAAGTCATCACTCCGTCGGGGGAGGTGATTGAACCAGTGTTGGGTGGTCGGTCTGGCGGTTCTTGTTCTTCCGCCTCAGCGAGTAAACTCGCTTATAAAGTATGGTGCAGATAAGAGGGGAACCTGTGTTAGAAATAGGCGATCGTGCACGAAAATAAATATGTACTGTTTAGGGCAGGCTGACTTTTACGTTGGAATAAGTCCTTCCTCTACTAAAGGCGGCCTCGTGCTAAGTTCCAGGGCTGTATATGTTTACGTGTCCTAACTTTAACCTTGACTCTGGTCCTCTTAACACTAATCTTGACGGTGGTAGAGGCGCGCTCCCCCATTGGTTCTACGATCTCGCTCGTTTCTTCGTGTCTCACGGGCTCACCGATCGTTCTTACGGAACTCACCCGTTCCGTTGTGCCCTTCGGGCTCCCTATCGAGCCCAACAAGCAGCCGCAGAGTTGCGCATGTCATAGGCAGAATGACGTTACCGACAAAGACAAGGGAGACTGGAATGGCCATTTCTGGCTTATTGACCGCTTTCAGCCAGTCGTACCCGGCACCGAAATGTGAAACACCTGGGGCTCGATCTTGCGACCTGTTAGTTAGAAGTCCAACGCCCCTAACCACTGAGCCACGGGCTCGTTGTTTCGTCGGTTTCGATCGGGAATATGCAATGGTAGAGGGGCGCTCACCGATCGTTTCTAAGGAACTCACTCGTTCCGCTGTGCCTTACGGGTTCTTTCTCTCGAGCTCCAGATGTTCCACGTTTTGCGGTTGGGTATGACCGGCTGACGACGGTCAATAAGTTAGAAACGGCCACTAACTTCTCCCTTGTCTTAGTCAGTAATGCCATTCTATCTAAGCTTAACTCTAACCCTAGCAACTCCTCTGTAATTTGGTGCAAGGCAGCTTGTGACACAGAGCTTATATTCTCGTGTCTTTCGCGGAGTGTTTACAAGGCAACATTTTTGGGAGATGAGATCGCCTTCTCGTGCATCGGCAGAGTAGATGATACGAAACCCTGTTATACGCACTAATTATCTTCTCAAACTTTCAATCACTTTCCAATTTCCACTTCCACCTCCCCCTTTCGCCTACCAGGAGGCGATATTGTCGTCTAGGTTTTCCTCCAAGGACATTTTAGACATTTCTAACGTGGTTTGTCTTTTATTAACTCCAGGCCTTTAGGCAGGGTCTGGTTTCGCAGAAAACCTACTGGATCCTCGATCGGGTCGGGGACGTCTCCATCAAGGCGATCCTGGACAGCCTTCATCGAACCCACTCCCCGTCGCCTGCCGACCCGCACCCCGAACGTCGCGAAAAACGTCCAAATGTTGGTCTGATCACCAGGGTTCCTATTCTTGATTATCTCATTTGCGTCGGAAATCCACAAGACCTCGAAATTATGTCAGTATACGCCGATATCTTCGACTGTGACACATCACGGTATCCGGTTAGTTAGTGCTTTTGTTTGCTTGATTTATTCGAGGAAAGGGAGAGATGATGTCGTCTAGAAGTTAATTAGTCGCAGATTCGTATTGTAACTTGGAGTAGATCAGTATATTTAAGGTCTATAGGCTCAGACCTAAGCTTTTATGTATGAATATTTTGGCCGAAATCCATCAGCCACAGCAGATAACCGCGTAATATTCACTAACTTCTGACAGGCAGCTAGTAGTATATCTTAGGGTAAGGTGAGTCCCTGCTAACAGCACAGGTACTGGCCAAAAAATTCATATGTAAAAACTTAGACGTGAGCTTATAGACCTTAAATATACTGATCTGCTCCAAGTTCTCAGTTAACTTCTATGGAAATTAAAAATCAACAATTTCTAAATTGTAGTATCTACCAGAAAACAGATGGGAAATGCTGGGGACCCACTGACGAACCGAACATCTCGTAGCTGTGTCATGCAGCGGCAAAACATCGGCGAAACACGCGGATAGGGGCTTTCAGCTAGTACCTGTGCAGTTAGTATGGAATCACCTTACCCTAGAGATTCGTATGCCGAAATGAATATTCGGAAACCTTCAGTGAACATTGATCATTGTTTTAATATGTACAGACAAAACTGAACTTGAACCGAACTGAATAGTCGAGTGGGGAATGCCAAAATTGCGGTCTCGTTAAAGTTATAAGTCGACTCTAAGAACACAAATGAGGAGTTTAAGTAAACCGAAAATAAATTATTTATATAAAACAAAACTGAGTTCAAAGTACGATAGACGTTGAAACAACTGAAATATCCGTCGCAAGCTTCAAACTGTTTTAGCAGAGCTGTGAAGGAAGGAGAAACGCTGAGGTGATATTCATGATGACAGCATTTGATACGAAATACAGCTAACTGGTAAAGCAGATTTTGCCGTTTCTAATACTATTACAGGACCATCTGTGAGTCCTTTAGTCAAGTCCAAAAAGTCCCGTATAGAATCCTGTTTCGGTCGACTTTAGAACTTGCAAAAACAAAGCATTTCGAGTTCTCAAACGTTACATAACCGGCAACCTTTCATAGGCATCTGCACCCTTCCAAGTTCCATGAATTGATATGCTGAAACCTGAAAGAGCAAATTAGATATCAATAACTTGGAAGTCGACGAAATTAACAGTTCCATGCCGACTTGTTGTGAGTCATTTTGTTGGCTAAACAGTCTAAATAATCAAATTTCGCCCTGACTTATCAAAATCCTTAGTGATTATCCGAGCACAAATGTTTGAATTCCTGAATGTGCTGATTTAAAATGCGTGCGAATTTAGTTGACCTATCCATCATATTCTATTCTATCAGCATCAGCATCAGCAAATCACAGTCCTCTCAGCCTGGTATGCGTTGTCAGTTCCTTGACACTTGTCATAGACTGACAGTTCGTCCGTCGATTTCGACGATGACCACCGTATGCCCCACGGACTGCATTGTGGGAGAAGGGACCGTGACTTACGCAGGGGTTTATAGTGCCAGTAGACTTGCGTAGCATCTACGTACACTCTCTCCTCCTCCCCCGCCTGGGCCCGGTGTCAAGACAGAGTCAAGAAGACCGGAGACGAGGGAGGCCGCAGGTGGATGGCTCGGACGGATCCTCACCTTGGCGTTCCACCACACCCCCTGGTCCACACAACAATAACCAGGATTTCAACCAACACGACAGAGATTTGGAGGCTGGCACGGCCGAAGCCGCACCTAGGCGTGCCGCCAACGCCTGGCTCGGATCCCACACTGTGGTGGGAATGCCATAAAGGCCACATTAAAAAGGAGCCATTGCAGCCTGACTCTCAGACCGCCTCCCGTTAAGGAGGAGGTCCAAGGTATCCCGTCAGTTGGCAACCTTCCAAGCCACGGCTTTTAGCGCACCGTGATAGCTTCAAGCGCGTCAGATTGTTTATAGTGAGGAAAATGCGCTGAGTCGTCGACCTCACTCTCCCTTCCCATTCCCACACCCCAACCACTGTCCGAGCCGGTCAGTAGACTGGAGGGGGGAATGGGCGCGGTGGCTGTCATGGTCGACTGACCATGCCTGCGCGCGCCACAGCACGACCTGGCCCCCCATACACACAAACACCAGGATTTCACACAACGGGGGTTGAACGGCGTGTCTCTCACTTGCGTGAGAGTGCCGTGGAAGGTGCTGTTGCAGCCCGTCCCCAGCCCACCAGTCCGCCACTCCACACAACACACACACAACGTGACGAACTGCGTGAACCGAGAGCGGGCGTCAATCAGCAACCTTCCTATCCACGACACTTGACGTGTCGGGATAGTCTCGGACACAAGTCACCCGTGCAGCCGAAACCGCATGGGGACAGAGTCGAGATGCACACTTCCCACTTGCGTGGGAGGCGGCAGTTGAGTGCATGAGGTGTGTGAGGGTTGATGTCTGGTGGGGTGATGGTGTTAGGAGGTAGGGAGTGAGGGAATGTGTGGTGTGACCGGCGGTTGTCTACCGCAGGTCGTCGTGGGTGCGCATGTGGCCGAATAGACCCATGCGATGCGTGAAGGTGCGAGGGCAGTGTGGGCTGTGAAGGCGAGTACGGTGGGTGTAGGTTGGTGCTCCAGTCACTGGTTCGCCAGTCTCTGTGCGATGGATTCGCAAGTGACCGACCAGGCCGATGCGTGAGGTGAAGGTGCGTGGACAATGTGGGCATGAGAGGTCGGCGGTGTCGGTGTCAGCTGTAGAGGAAGCAGTGGTGTTGGTGGTGGTGGTGGCAGTGGTGGTGGTCGGCGCGTGTGACGGTGGAGCGAGGATGGGTCTGGGCGTGGTGGATGTGTTGGATGTCGTGGCTGTATCGGAATTGTGGTCAATTCCGCTCTCGTGGATGCGCATGTGGCCGAATAGACGCATGCGATGCCGGAAGGTGCGAGGGCATTGTGGGCAGTGGAGGCGAGTGCGGTGAGTGTAGGTTGGTGCTCCAGGCACTGGTTCACCAGTCTCTGTGCGATGGATTCGCAAGTGACCGACCAGGCCAATGCGTGAGGTGAAGGTGCGATCGCAGTGAGGGCAGATGTAGTCCTGGCCCTCACGTCTGATGATGGAGGTTGCAGGGGTTGTGCCGGTTGTTGTGTCAGGTGCGGCTTTGGTGAAGTCGTGCGCTACAGACGCCGGAGTGGCCGTCGTTGTGGCAGTGAAGGAGGAAGTGGAGGAGGAAGGGGAGGAGTGGGGGGTGGTAAGGTCGGTGGCGTCGATGTCGGCTGGGGAGTGGTTAGTGGGTGCACAAGGTGATGGATTGGGAGTGGGGCTCGGCGGGGTGGGTGTGTCAAGGCTGCGGTCAATTCCACTCTTTTGGATGCGCATGTGGCCGAATAGGCCCATGCGATGCCGGAAGGTGCGAGGGCATTGTGGGCAGTGGAGGCGAGTGCGGTGGGTGTAGGTTGGTGCTCCAGGCACTGGTTCACCAGTCTCTGTGCGATGGATTCGCAAGTGACCGACCAGGCCGTTGTGTGAGGTGAAGGTGCGGTCGCAGTGAGGGCAGGTGGGGGTGGTTGCGGTTGCTGTGTCGTGGTTGGCGATGTGTGAAACGGCAGCCTGAACGGCCACCGCTGGGGCAGTGGAGGAGAAGGAGGAGGATGGAAGTGGTGGTGCAGAAGGAGTGTCAGAGTTAGTTGGCGGAAGAGAGGACGAGGAAGAGGCGGGCGCGGGGACGATGGCTGGAGCAGTTCGAGAGGTGCAGTTGGTTCGAAGATGTCCAACAAGTCCGATTCGTTCCCGGAATGTCCGTTGACATCGAGGACACGTAGGGAGCGGTTGTGCGGCGGCGTTGCGTATTGGGCGAAGTTGTGATTTGCGGACTTCGCGTTTCACTTTGGCGGCGGCGATGCGGTTGGCTTCGTGGATAGCAGCGCCCGTCTTCACTGTTCTCCTCCATGTCGGACGATCGCGGGCGAGGTCTTGCCAGTTGGTCGGGTTGATGTGCAGGCGCTTCAGGGAGGACTTCAGAGTATCTTTGTAACGGCGAATTTGGCCTCCTTGACGACGAGAACCCGTCGCGACGTCTCCGTAGAAGAGTCGTTTGGGTAGTCGCTCGTCGTCCATGCGCACCAGATGGCCGCTCCAGCGCAGCTGCATTTGTCTCAACATGGAGTAGATGCTCAGAATTCCCGTCCGTTCCAGCACTTCGGTGTCGGGGATGCGGTCCTGCCAGTTCAGCCTCAGGATGCGGCGGAGACAGCTGAGGTGGAAGTGGTTTAGTCGACGTGCCTGCCTCGTGTACACCGTCCAGGTCTCCGCTCCGTACAGTAACGTCGGCAGGATGACGGCCTTGTACATCTTCAGCTTTGTGCTCAGTTGGAGACCATGACGATTCCAAACTGTGCTTCGGAGGCGTCCGAAGGCTTGACTGGCTTTCGAGATCCTGTTGGCGACTTCGTCATCAATCTTGGTGTTGCGGGAGAGCGTGCTGCCCAGGTACGGGAAGTTATCTACCACTTGCAGTTGAGTCCCATTCACGTTGATTTGCGGCGACGCGTTGGGGGCTGTGGCTGAGTTGGGAGGCGGCTGATGCATCACCACTGTCTTCTGCGTGTTGATAACCAGCCCAAAGTTCTCGCAGGCGGCGGAGAATAGGTCCATGCTCCGTTGCATCTCCACTTCTGAGGTGGTGTTCAGGGCGCAGTCGTCGGCGAAGAGGAGGTCGTGCACGGTGGCGGTGGATACACGCGATTGGAAGTTCATGCGCCGGCGATTCAGGAGATGACCGTCCGTTTTATAGGCGATGCGGATTCCAGGGCGTCCGTCGCGGTAGGCGTCCATCAGCATGGCAGAGAACATGAGACTGAAGAGGGTAGGCGCCAGCACACAGCCCTGCTTCACTCCGTTGGTAACTGCGAATGCCTCTGAGACAGCTCCGTTGTCCGTGACTCGCGCCATCATACCGTCGTGCAGCTGACGCACCATCTGAGTGAATCGCTCCAGACAGCCGAATTTCTGCATAATCTTCCACAGTCCTTCACGATTCACCGTGTCGAAGGCTTTCGTCAGGTCCACGAAGGTAGAGTATAGGTGGGTCCGCATCTCCTGGCACTTCTCCTGAAGTTGGCGGGCTGCGAAGATCATATCCGTGGTCCCACGATGACGACGGAAGCCGCATTGGCTTTCCGGCAGAAGGCCCTGTTCCAGATGGTTGTTGAGGCGGTTGAGCAGGATGCGAGCGAAGATCTTCCCGGCGATGTTCAGTAGGGAGATGCCGCGGTGGTTGTCGCGGTGGTTGTCGGTGTTGTCATAGACTACCCTTTGTTTGACTGGCACAAAATCGCGCCTCTCTTCCTCTTTTTTCCCCAATGAAAAAACAAAAATAGAGTACCCCCGAAACATGAGAGTGCGTTTGTACGGTGTACTGAACCCACATGACATAGGAAAAGTTAGAAGACATAGTTCAAACTTTCGGGCGATTTTCACTACTCGGTGTATTCCGAAGGGCTTGAAACTCAAGCTTATAACTACGCGGGGCGTGATATACAGACATTTGTTTTGTTTCTACCATTAGGGTAGTTGATTAGTGTTAAAACTTTCGGCGGTTCGACGTGCACTTAGCGGAGGTGTAGTCTGATTTCCGTAGATTTCCCATTTACACTTTCTCATTGTAGTCCATCTTAACTAAGGAAAGATTATGTGACATTCTTCTCTTGACACTAAGGTGTTTTTGCGCATTTAGCCTGTCTCCTTATCAGGTTGCATCGCATGCATTATTGTTGGTCGTGCCAATCAAACCTCCCTCGGCAGGGTGGGAATGCCGCGGCCTTTAAGGCGAAGCAGACTTGTTGAGATAGAACATTAACCTATGTCTTCTGGAAAGTGCTCCGCGGTGAGGACTGACTGTAATAATGCAACTATCGGCCCCTCTGGTAAATTGTCCATGCGCTTAATGGACGGTCCTACACGGTGCCAGTACGTAAACATTGTCCCCTTGCTTACAAAATGACGGCTTCTGAGTTGGTTGGCAACTGAAGAAATTCCCGCATCGACGAATTACAGACCAGTTAGACTGACGGCAGAACAAGAAAGTCCAGAGCCAGAAATTAGTGCAAATGTTGGATGCAAAGACAAACCTCCGAAAAGCAAAGGAGTAAGCAAAATAATCTCTAGCAGAGCAAGTAAGTAAACAGTGGATTAGTAGAGAATGTGTCGTCTGCTGCGGAAAAAGGGAATATAAAATTATTCGTAGCTAATGTTTTATATTACTACTACTGCGCGTTATTCCTCGAACTAGAATAGTGCTAAAATAATTTAAAATATCAAGAGTTTAAATTGCGTGATAAGACTGGGAGTCGAAAGTTACTTACCTCAGCAGATGATTATTGGAATGTTCAATAATCGTGTTTCAGAAAGTTGACTAATTTTGGTAATCCAATAATTCTCGAAGATGATTCCAGTTCTCTTAGTGGCCATCGGCCGATCAACTTTCAAACACTTGACATTCCGGTAGTGCCCGGATGGCTCTTGTCTGGATTATTCGCGCAGCCCGCTGCACGAGTACTTTGGCCCTAAAACCAAGTGTCTTTCGCTGTAACGCGGAGGATACCTTTGTTTGAATCCAAGAGGTCGCGTCGGAAAGACTTCGTAGGAGTTATAGCTCCAGCTGGATGACTCAATTCAGATCGACTCGTTCCCCTTGATCCGCCTGTGTGTTCATCGGGGACCCCGAGACCTGTCGGCGCTCTACCACGTTCAATAGGTTTAATCAAAACATAAAAGAACGGAAACAAGAGTCAAAACACATATCGTTCAGTAAAAGAGACGGGGTTAGTTCGCCTCCTACGAAAGTGGTCATTTGTGGATCACGCAGAACCGCATTTTCGAGCTGCACCGAGATCACTGAGATCCTTATCCCACCATTTCGAGAGCTGGGTTTGTGAGAATGAGTGTTCAAAATGACTGTGGGATCCGTGGATACTCTGACGAAGCTAGCCTGGCTTTACGTGAAATTTTGATCGATTTCGCTCCCTCTCCCCAGTTACATCCATATTAACTTATGAAGTAGGCTGTCATCTGTTACATTATGCCTAATAGGAGGTAAGTCGTATTTAAGCACACTTCTTACATCATGCAAGACAATTTACAGTATGTGGGCTAACTCATGAAATGTCAACCGAAATTCTGAAATGCGTTTTCGTTCCGAAAAGATTAATTAAGTAGGTTTGTACAACTGGTCAGCCTGCAAAATAATTCTATAATATTTCAGTTACCTCCGGATGCCCGCTTTCGAATGAACTTACTTCCGGCTGCATGCAAGATCCACACTCTGTAAAAAATAATACTTATGCAGCATGCATTTTTTCGCTTATTTTCGATGTACTTAAAAATTCAATTATATTTCATGAAACACATGCATAAAATGATCATTCTTTTGCTAATCCAGTAGAAAATTACGTCTTCTGCCAATTTTATACTCGAAACAGGGACACAATTCGGTTTTAAAATATTTCATTTGTAGGACATTTAAATACCGTGAATTGGCCGTCATAAATCGTCATGTATCAGCATTTACCAGTGTGGCTTGTAAAGTTAGAAATATGGATCAAATTCACTGTTTACTTTTATGAACCCCACATGGTCTCCCTTTGTAACCGTAGAGAAATGAGGTTTTCCATAAACGGAAAATATAAGGCTGGTAGTTTGAAAACCCTGAATTCAAGTGTAACGGTAATGCGTGTTGAGAATTATCCGGAAATTGGAAAATTTTAGAAAACCGAATTTTCACCTTCTTCGAGTATACAACTAGAACAAGACGTACTGTTCTACTGAATGAGCAAAAGAATGAATATTTTTATGCCTGTTTTCCATGAAATATAACTGAATTTTTAAGGACATCGAAAATAAAATAGAAAAATGCATGCTACATAAGTAATCAATTTTTACAGAGTGTAGATTTTGCATGCAGCCGGAAGGAAGTTCCGGGGGTAACTGAAATATTATAGAATTATGTTGCAGGCTGACCAGTTTTACAACCCCACTTAATTAATCTTTTCGGAACGAAAACGTATTTCGTAATTAAGGTTGACATTTCATGAGTTAGCCCATCCACTTTACAGAACCCCGAAGGCACATCAACGCCTGCACTTTTTAGATGGTGTATACGGGAAGCGTTTGCGTCAGCAGAAATAAAAGCCATGCATCTAAGAGACCTTGATTTATTTAATATGATTGCAGTTTACATTTTGGCCAAACGAACTCATAAAGTCAGGACGATGTGTAATTATTTGATGCAGCAACATTCTAACAATTAGTGTCCTTAGACCTGCCGTGTCATGCCCATTCGTATCCTGTCTTTGAAATTCCTGTACACAAGGATCGACTTATTCTTCTGGGCATGTTTGCCTACGGAGCCAGCCGGGCCGTTTGGACTGAAAAACAGCAGGGCTTGGAGTCAATCGACCAGACGGCAGTCAAGAAAGCCTTAAAGAAGGTCAGACCTTATTTTCCCCGTCTTAATTCTTGTCTTTCCGAAGTCCTTATTCTATTAAATTATTTTCGTTATGAAGGGAGATAGTCATGCAAAAGACGACTGAACACCGCATTGCAGGGACTAGGTGTTGGAATTGCCAACCGGCCCAAAGCCACCATGCGCAGCAGGAATTTTAAAATCATGAACTTATTGCATACCGAGGAACAATCTGAAGTAGTGTATTACACCCCATGCCTAGACTCTCGATATAATTACACAGGCCAGGTTGGACCTATGGTCGGCCCTCTTATAAGCGAACGTAAGCTAGTTGTGCGACAGGATAGCAAACTATTACAAGGGGTTACTCCTACCTTTGAAATGTGTGACGAGTTTAACTTCGCATTCACAAAGACAATAATCAACATCAGAAGCAAGGAAGTCGGAGTACTGATTGAGGCCTTTGCCTCAGATGATAACTCACCCAATCGGTGTTTCGGTCTGGTGCCGGCTTACAGAGTCATGCGCAGTCACCACTGGACCTGCGTGACCGACTTCTGATTGACTAATAGCCCCTACAAGTGTCGCTTGTTCAGGTGCCGCCTTCATCTCAGGTGATGAAATTTAGCACGGGTTCCAAAGCTCAGAAATGTAAACAGACCGTTCCGGTGCTCGACCAGTCTTTTTCCCTAGAACGAAAAACGAAACTTATCTTTAGATGAAGAAGAGGTTTACCTAAATCTTCCCATTTCGACGTGCAATATCGGTCTTATTTAATGTAGCTATTTAAACCGCAGGAATAAGCTTATTCTTCTATGTCCTTAAAAATCATAACTGACAAATAGAGCTTCCAAACCTCTCCACTCACCGGTGTGTTTTAAAGAGGAACATGTTGCCTAAATTTTTAGCTTCTTCGAGAACTGGCCGTAGCAAGCGCCTGGTTGTATGCCACCCACACGTCTCCCCGGACAGAGCAGATGACCCTTGAGGGAACGGCGCTGGCATATCGGGATGGACGTATATTAATGTCTGGCTTCGGTTCGAAACTGGCCGAGGAGTCGTACACCAGTGGTCTCTTCCCGAACACTTTCTACAGCTTCCACAATTCCACGCTGCACGTTGGTTTCGTTGAGGTCAAATTTCGATTTCTTGGTCTTTCTATTTCCAAAGATGGCATAACACCAACTGAGTTTAAATAGGTAGTGCGTATAATTCCACTGCAATTTGCACCACGTACTCCTAAGCATCTCTTATGTTCATCGGTGTTTGCGCTAATGCGCGCAATGAATTCTGAACTCTGAAGTCAATTTAGAGAAGCATTAGCACCATATAGAACTATGCGAAGAGGTTCTGCACAGCATAATTGCTTCTTAAAAGAATGCGGGATTTGGGAACCTGGTCAGCAATGTCTAAAAAAGATGTCGATCGACTAAAAGGGAATGCCCCGTCCATCTAACTGAACGCTTTTCCCAAATTAGGCAAGTTTGACGGAGGAAGTCACGACTGTGCCGACGGTTCTGTTATTTCCGTGGCGGCATTCAATTTATCTTCCCCTAACCAATGTGCACTACTTAGTGAACACATAGATCAAATCCCATAGGATGAGACTTTTGATAGTTCGTCTCGTAGCGAAGCCTGAAAATGGCCAGCAGCCCTTTCAGTCCCATCCAGCTCCTTTAGCCCTGCTCCCAGAAGACAGCGGCGCGAGAGATAGACGCCTTATACATGTTGCATACAGTAGGTGGTCTAACTCATCAAATGTCAACCGAAATTCCGAAATGGGTTTTCTCTTCGAAAAGATTAATTAAGTAGGGTTAAAAAATAATCATCTTACAGTATAATTCTATAAAAATTCAGTTACCTTAGTATGCCTGCTTGCGAACGAACTTCATTTCGACCGCATACAAAAATCATACTCCGTAAAAAAGGACTA